CGATGTAAGGGTAGACTGGAGTATTCTCACCTACCATTCGAAAGTAAATTTCCTCTATAGGGCTTGAAAGTGATGACGTCAAAACGGCCAGGGAGTAGTAAGTTGACATCAGATTTCTATTTTTGGATCCACTAAGGTGTGACTTTGCTATTGCCTAAGTATGTGGGTGCATAGCAACCCACTCATGTCGCATGCAGGTGTGACTTTTATTTCGCCACCAGTTGTAACCTCGCCCCCAGTAGCCAAATCAGTCAGTTTCACTGGCTACATCACCATGCTGTGAGTAAGACCACTTGAAATGTGCTTGGATCCATACAAAAACTGGATCCAAGTGGATCCAGTTTTTGAATTTTTGAAATTGTTGCTATGCTGTGACGTAGCACTTTCAAGCCCTATTGCTAGCTTATGGTTCACACTTAACGAGGTTAATTGTAATGGAACAGCACATCTCACTTAAACATTCGGGTGTTAGTCAGACATTGGCTGAATTGAGACGGAATTACTGGGTGCCTAAAGGTCGAGCAATGGTTAGACGGGTGATTAAGGAATGTCTTTTGTGCAAACGCCATCATGGAAAGCCATTTGCAACACCACCATTTGCACCTTTGCCTGAGGAACGGCTTGTCCCTGGGAGGGTGTTCGAATCTGTTGGTCTTGATTACTTTGGGCCAATGTATGTGAAAACGGAAACTGAAACAGCTAAAGTGTGGGTATGCATCCTCACTTGCCTAACTACCAGAGCTATTCATATGGAATTAGTTCGCAATATGTCTACTGAGCAATTCCTAATGTGTTTCAGACGGTTCATTTCACGGAGAGGTACACCGAAGTACATAGTAAGTGATAATGCCAAGCAATTCAAGCTGTCTAAGAATGTTATTGATCTTCTCTGGCTTGAGTCAATTCAACATAATGATGTAATGGAATTCATTGCGGGAAAAGGTATTAAATGGAAATACATCACTGAGTTAGCTCCTTGGATGGGTGGTGTTTACGAACGCATGATTGGTATTGTGAAACGATCTCTGAAGAAATCAATTGGAACTGGACAGCTTACATTCTGTCAACTTGAAACTTTGCTAATTGAAATTGAGGCAATTGTCAATTCTAGACCACTGGTATACGTTGGTGAGGACTTCACAATCGATCATGTTCTCACGCCTGCCAATTTCTTAACGGGGCATAGTTCTCTTGGTCAGCCTAACTTTGTCATTACAGATGACCCTGACTACATCACACATGTCAGTAATGCTCAACAACTCGTCAACCTGTGGAAACAGCAGCAGAAATGTCTCAACATTTTCTGGGAGAAGTGGTCGGCAGAGTATTTGCAGTCGCTACGACCACAACAACACAGTCAACAAAATTCCAATAGCTTCAAGCCAAGTGTGAACTGCATTGTTCTGATCAAGGATGTTGATCGGCCGCGCAGCTGCTGGAAAATAGGAAGAATCGCGCAGCTACACCAAAGCACAGACGGTGAAGTGCGATCAGTGACGCTACGTATGCCATCTGGGAGTTCCATGAACCGGCCGGTAAGCCATCTCTATCCGTTAGAGTGTTCATCAGGCGAAGTAACCACTGCAGAAGTGCCAGAGCCTACAATTGCGCCACTGCCTGAACGCCCGCGACGCAATGCAGCAACAGCAGCTACAATGCGCACCCGTGATCTGATCGAAGATGGACAAGTATAGTAGCCATGTGAATTAACTGCATGTAACCTGGTACTTATTTGAACAGTTGCCAGTGTTCTCGGTTATGTTTTTCTAAATTTAATTATGATAGTAATATCTACATTGCTTACGGTTCAGTTATTGAGTCTCATCATGCAAACCTAGCTCTCGATTTATTAAGGTTGTGTTGTGACATACCGTAAATACTGTAGCAGTAATGATGAAACTAGCTCCAGAACTTCGAATTGCTTAGATATAGTTTCTTCCATTTTGTTCTTTAAGTATTGAAGTATTTCCAGCTGGAAATCTGTTTCAGCTCTCTAGTCTTTTAACATGGTTCTTACGGCTTCACACAAATTATGTGTTACTTATCTTTGCGGCGGGAGTGTCGCGAAGCGAGATAGTTTAATTTTGCTATTTTACATGTTTTAGTTCATGTTTCGGCACTGCAGCAATCTGTAGCTTTCTCTTAGTCTATACGGTAAATATTGTACTGTGAACTCTGTACGGCAAGTTCTGCCACATGCACAGTTTGTAGCCTCAGACCCTCTAGGTTTACACAGCAATGCCAGAGCTCGCATTTGTCCCAACTGCTGCATACTGCTCTCCCAAAATAATGAAGTGCGCGTGCTCCGTACGATGTTGCACTGCCACGTTCACTTATCGTATAAATTCTCTTTCAGTCCGAGCAAATAAATCAGTTATCAACTCATCTCCTAACTGTGCACTTGCGGGTTTGTGCCGGTTAGTGACATGCTGTGCTTGGTGAAATCCTAGGCTGGTCGTTCTTCGACGTTCCGTTCTTCGACAACCGACAGTACGGTACCTCATTTGGTTTTCTAAGTTTTGAGAGTATGTAGACCTACAGCAAATCGCCTGTCTCCAAGTATGTTTGTACGTGTAGAGACTGTGGGTTCCAAGTTTTTGTTTGTTTTTCTGACTGATGATGCGAAAATTTGGTCGAATGTTTTTTTGTTCTTTGTTTCGCAGTAAAGAGAGGGTTGGAAAGAGAATCATGTGTCTCTTTCAGTAGTTGCGTTGGAGTTTTAGGGGAAATTAGAAAAGTCGCTATGGGTGCACAATGCCAATGCATTAATGGTGCAGCCGATGCTGAACAAGTAACATTAGTCATTAGTAAGTATTCGTGGCGTGGTTCCGTCTGTCGTGTCATTTTTACAACACATGATTCACCACAGTAACGGTTGTCTTATCCCCCCTAGTTACCATGGTTACTAGTAGCTGTAGCTAGCTAGCTAGAGTAGAGACTAGAGTAGAGACTCTGCGAATCTCATGTGACCATGGTGCCCCAAAAAGGCCAGAATGACGGCGCCAAACCGGCTGTCCGTAACGACCTTCGCATCGACCCAAGCCAAGGTCACACTCTGACTCATCGTAGCTGCACTGCGTCCGTGTGTGTGCATGTGTGTTTGGTGAAGACGCAGTTGTTACCGTTCATCTGCGAAGAAGAGGTACAGCACGTGCTTGATAGCAGTTTTGTACACTGTAGTCTCCTGGGCATTATGATATCCTTGTCCCAGAACCAGAGAAAGTAGACCTGTTCAGTATCATCGACTCGAGAAATCATTGTCTGTTCGTGTGTCCGTCGGTGACTATCGAGGTCTGAGCAACAACGTAACATCGTTGCGTTGTTTTCGAGTCAGGGTGATGTGTTGATGATAAGCCACTAGTGCGACTTGTGCTGGAAAACCGAAGCTGCACTGTATCTGCAGCTATCCAGTATTTACGGTAAGGACGTTCTGTGCATGTATACACTATGTAAAAATGTCACATGACTAAGAGGGGTAGACCTTGAAACCTTCAAGCAGTACAGTCAGTTATTGCCAGGCTGGCAAGATGGGTTGCAGTTATCCTATGTGGAGAATTGATTTAGATTTTCAAGACGTGAAGAAAACCCGTGTTAACGATACCTACATGTAGTTGTATTGCAAGTCAAATTCACCCTATGGAACGTACTAGAACAGTAGTGCAGAGATACAGGGAAATGACAAAGGCAAAAGATAATAATTAAAGAAAATAAAAAGGACCAAGGAACTACAAGTTACGCTATAATGTCCACTAACACCACCAGTTACTAAACAGTCAGCCAGTTAGTTGTAGAACGTCAGTACCGTCGGTCAGTGTCGTGCAATGGTATCGCATGAGCTGATTGTTTAGTTACTGGTGGTATTTGTGGACATAGCATTACTTTTAGTTCCTTGGTCCTTTTTATTTTTTATAAATTAATCTTTTCCTCTCCATCCGAGTCAATCCTCGCAAAAGATAATGCGCTTCACAACTTCACAAGGGCCATCGCAGTTCTATTGACGTCATGCTTGAGAAGAGCCTTGGTACTTGAAGGGTGATGGTGGTGTTCCTACGGATGCGGAAAACTCGGCCTCTAGCCGAGTCTGACGCGAACCGTGAATTTTTTTGTTGAGAAGAGTGTTCAACTGCACATGCCCAGAACATTCCTGACCCTCAACACTATCCTCAAACTGATGCATTCTTCCCCTGTACTCAAGTACTTGTATATCCATCTCTATTTTAATATTTCACGAAACCTGATACATGAACATCTTGCAGGAGCGTCGGACACGCTACGGTCATTATGGTGTTGACCGTACCACTCTTCGTCCCGGGTACCCTGTGAATCAATAAAGCGCACTGATCTGGGGTCTAAATTTCGAAATTTTCATAGGAACCACCCCAACCCCACGAGTAAACAATTTAATTGTATTTCAGGTGGCTGACCACACCACCCTAAAATACCTTCCGATGCCCCTGGCTCTTGTCATTTACCGAGTGTTAACATACAATGGAGTTCACCATGAGTGCAGCGAATGGGATTTTCTGATTTTGACCTCTTTGGTTGTGGGTCTGATCAGTGATCAACTCACCTCCCATCACTTTAAAATCTGCATCTGCACCCTTGATCCATAGAGGGTGGTGGAGTTCCTGCGGATTCGCAAAACTCAGTCAAACTGAGTATCACTTGAACCATGAATATCTTTTACCCATGATGTAGTGAAATGATTGTGTGTACATATGAACAGTAGTGGTGTAGAACAGAGGACTGTGTTGTAGGTGAAGTGTGTTCAGTTAACCAAAAATGAACTGTGTGAGTTTTACATAATACTCGTATGTGGCTATGGAGAACCAGCAGTGACAGTGTAAGGAGTGGTGGTATGGTGTATGTGGTGCATGGCAGTATTTGTCTCCATACACATGAGTCAATCATCTCTATGCTGTGTGTGTGTGTGGGGGGGGGGGGGGTGTTAGCATAATGATATGTGTATACATGTACCTGTATTGTGTGACACTGTACAGCCGGTCTTCTGGTTGATTGTCATTCATACTTGAATTCTCTTTCAGCAAATTCATCGACTATCAGAAAAGAAAGATTCTGTTTCAAAGTTTGTTTGTTTTTGTTTGTGTTTTGTATAACTTTGTGTTTAGAACGATGCCGTTTGACTTCTGGGATGATGTTGTCCTGCCAGCATGGCATGACATAGCTCGATGCAGGATTACACATGAAGCATTAGAGAATGCTGTCATGGCAATAGATGAACATCATCCACGTATCAGCAGAGATCCCGTGCTGAGGGGATATGTGATGAGGTGGAAGAAGTTAATTAAAACCAGCAAAAGGAGTTCAGAGGAGGATAGGCTAGCCGCATATATTGCCTTTGTTGCTTGCTACAAGAGAGGGCAATCAGGTGTCCAGAACTTCCTTCAAGACATCCAGTCTTCATCTTTCCCATCCAATGTTGCTGTTGGTGGACTGCTGGAGAGAATTTGGGAAGCTCGCAAGAATGATCATCCTGAGGAAGATGTCAAGGATCCATGTGAGTAAAAGATTGCCATTAAGTTTGTTTTGAGGAGGGGAGCAGTGCAATGATTTCATGGTATTTTGTATGTAAAGTTCATGCTTCATCCACGTGGAATTGCACCACTACACTTGTTAGCTGCTCTGGCAACCCTTTACTTTCCCTAAGCACTCTCAGAAGACTATCTTGTTATCTCATGAGTGTTACTATGAGAAGAAGTATTGGAAGACAGGAACCACTGGAGCATGCGCTGTTCTATAGTTGATGGAAAAATCTGAATAATCTTTACCGACAAAGAAGTGGGAGATATGAAATAGTGAGCACAATAGTGCGTTTGTATTGTGACCTGTATGCTGCATAAGTATCATAGCATAAGTATACCTGTTGCATACTCGTATACACCTTGTAAATGAAGATAGCATGTGCAATACTGTACATTGAAGAAATCTTTACATACATGTTATGTGTGATGTTATGCTGGTGCATGTTACAACATTATATAAGATCATGCATTCTATTCTGTAGAGTAGAACTACAGTATATTCATAAAAAGATGGACTTCTAGCTTTTGGCCATAAATGGGTCAAACCTTTTAGAATATTTTTCTGCAATCCCTATGGAATCCTCTTCTAATATTGTTTCTGAAGTCTATTTGTCCAAAATGCAAGCCATAACAAGAATAAGATTTCGGCCAGGTTTTGCCCCAAAAGCACGAATTTGGGAAAACCATCCAAATCTAGGCCGTTTGAACCCGCTTGCAACAGTGCATTGTGCGGTTCGAACCCCAGTTCAGGTACCCTTTTTGGACCCGGTTTCGAATTTCGCAGCACTGCGCTGTGTACGATAATATCGCGAAAATCGCCAAATAGGGGAGCTCGCCAGAGCCAGGGACCATCTTTTTTATGAATGGACTGTAGAACCGGCATACCATCAATGGGAATGAAAAATGTAGTGGAGCCGATGTAGGATAATTACGACTCATGCATTGTACCATCGTGTCACGGGTTTTAGTCAATACATGTATGTACAAAAGTACTGAAATGAACATGATTGCACTCACTATAGTGTAATCGTGCTATGTAAGTTTAATAACGAGACGTGTAGATCTTTACTTGATCAACTGATGCCAAGTATTGTTTGGTGCAAAGATCCATCAATCTTTGTTACGCTACATGGAGTTTAGACTAAAACTGAGCATGTATGTCACATATGCTGTATCCAGTCAAATTATCAACCAATGCATTTGCAATACTCAAGGCTACGCGGAAGTTATAAATAATTATGATTATTTGAAGCAAAGTAAACAGGACCAAGAAACTACAAGTTACGCTATAATGTCCACTAACGCCACAAATCTTTGGGTAATCCTGAAATAAAGATTATTATAATAATATTAATATTTTGACTAGTTTGAGGGAATTATTATTATATTATTACCGTACTGGCAATATATATGGTCGCAGTGAGGCCATGAAGCGTTACATTGGCACATGTTTACCGCACGCAGGGCGTTACATGCAAAGTCGCACAGGAGCCGTTACACAGGTTTCTATATTGCCGCAGTCCTTTTTTTTGCTATTGCCGCATCACTTTTTTGCTATTGCCGCATCATTTTTTGCAAACGTCAATGAAAAGATCACCGCACCCCGCCGGACGCGCGTTACGAACGCAACAAAAATTTTTCGCACTAGCCTGGTCGCGCGTTACGCCGCACCCCCCTGCGTTACGCGTTACGCGGCAAAATAATATTGCCAGTACGGTACACTACTTACAGTTCCCCTCCTCGTGCTATTTCTATAACTTAGAACCTTCCAAGTTGGAAGGCTGTTGGAGTGCGCATCCAAGAGGTGCTAGAGCTGTTAGCCAGTTAGTTGTAGATCGTCAGTATCGTCGATCAGTGGAAAAGACATCTTTCTTAGCCGACGTTTGATGATGACTCAAGCTAATGGGGACACAAACCCTCTCCAGTATACTGTAATCAGCATCGAGTGACACAGACACACACAACAGAAAATGAGTCATACGATGTGTGAAAGTTTCACCTTCCGTGCTTTAAGCGCAAAACCAGTTTGCGCAGCTAGTGCACGCATGTTCGTCATAAAGGGGTCGTGCATGGAAAACCTGTACACTCTGCTGCGATCGCGAGGTCCTGTAACGCACTAGCTGCTATCCGTGGAAGCCGGCGTTGTACTAGCCTGCAGCACGCAGTTTCAAATTGGAGTGCTTTTTGTTTCAAGATCCTGCGCTGTGAGTTCTCCATCTCCTGCCAAAGTCTTAACAAGTGAAATACCAGTAGCTCACATTATGTCATTGTTCCGTCTGGACCTGTAGAGCTGAAAGGCTACACATGAACCTTGACTACAGGTCAGAGTGCAGAGCTTGCACAACGTGCAGAGCTTGCACAACGTGCAGAGCTTGAGTACCATGCAACTCTGAGTTTAGATCTATTTTGGTTCCAATGGATTTCTCAGAAATACTATGTAGAGGCTGGCTCGGGAAAAGTGAAGACGGTGCAGCAGCATGTACGAAGGGGTGACACAAACACAGCAAAAACACAGCAGCAGGTGCAACAGAGTGACACAAACGCAGGAGCATGTACAACATACCTATTTGTATACAGCATATTATTTCCTAGTGTGCAGGTCAAATGCAGTCTTTGTTATGGTAATACAGTGTATGTACAGCCTGTGTGGATATGGGTACAGTGGTCCCTCTATAATCCGGCACCATTTGTGCCACGGAAATCTGCTGGATTAGGGAGGGTGCTGGATTAACAAATCTGATCTACTGCTGCAATTATGTGCATGAAGAGGACATTTGGCTACTGAAAATTGTGCTGGTTTATCGAGGGTGCTGGATTATAAAGTGCCGGATTAGAGAGGGACGACTGTATACGTATAGCTCATGGCATTCCATGCTCTGATCAACAAACACCAGTTGTTCAACACCAGCAACCATATAGCCCAACTCAACCTCTTGTGCTCAGCTGTGCCTTGCTATGCTTGTGCCACACCACGTGCACACACACACACGGTGACACTGCATGCACACACACACACCACGTGCACACACACACCACATGCACCTATTTTGCCCTTTTGAGTTTTGACGCCCATCACCGAGGCGATGATAGCGATGCTACAGCAGAAGCCATAGCAACTTGTGCTGGGATTGCTCCATTTAACAGCTTACAAGGCTGAAGAATTGACCGCCACTATTCTGAGCCTTGTCTACACCACACAGCTATTTGAAGAGGCCATTTCTGGCCAGTGAATCCCTACTTTTTCGTTTTCGTTTTTTCCAGCACACATCACGCCACATATTCCACCATGTACTGGCTGTTGGGACTGACCACCCAGGATTTTTCATACCACGTGCACACACACACACACACACACACACACACACACACACACACACACATACACACACACACACACACACACACACACACACACACCTCAGACCTCAGACCTGCCCATCGGGGAAACGATGATAGCGAACAGCTATGTTAGACATAGCAACTTGTGCTGGGATCACCATTCAACGGCTTGCAAGGCTGATGAATTGACCACCACTATTTTTAGCCTGGTATCCACCACACAGCTGTTTGAAGTGACTTTTTCTGGCTAGTGAATCCCTATTTTTCATTTTTCCATTTTCCATTTTTTTTTCTACACACACACCACACCACATACTCCGGCATATACTGGCTGTTGGTAACCACCCAGGAGGAAAAAAAGGCAGGAAGAGTCCAAAAAAAGAGAAGAAAAGACGTGTGCGACCATAATCGTCGGGAATTGAACCCGCAACCTCTCGATTGGAAATCGACTGCACATACCACTGCACCACACGTGCACACACACACACACACATACACACACACACCATACGCACACACACACACACACACACACACACACACCACCACCACCACCACTACCACCACCACCACCACCACCACCACCACCACCACCATCACCACCACCACCACCACCATGTACCACACACACACACACACACACACACACACACACACACACACACACACACACACACACACACACACACACACACACACACACACACACACACACACACACACACACACACACACACACACACACACACACACACACACACACACACACACACACACACACACACACACACACACACACACACACACACACACACACACACACACACACACACACACACACACACACACACACACACACACACACACACACACACACACACACACACACACACACACACACACACACACACACACACACACACACACACACACACACACACACACACACACACACACACACACACACACACACACACACACACACCCACCAGACACACACACACACACCAGACACACACACACACACACACACACACACACACACACACACACACACACACACACCTCAGACCTCAGACCTACCCATCGCGGAAGCGATGATAGCGAACAGCTTTATTAGAAATAGCAACTTTATGCTGGAATTACACCATTCAACAGCTTTCAAGGCTGATGAATTGACCGCCACTAATTTTAGCCTGGTATCCACCACACAGCTGATTGAAGTGGTGTATTCTCGCCAGTTAATCCCTTTTTTTCATTTTTCCATTTTTTCATTTTTTTGGACACACACGCCACACCACATCCCCCGACATACACTGGCTGTTGGTAGCCACCCAGGATTATGAAAGAAGAGCTAGGAGAATGAGAAAGAGAAGAAAGACGTGTGCAACCATAATCGTCGGGAATTGAACCCGCAACCTCTGGATTGGAAATCGACTGCACAGTCCACTGTACCATATGGGACACACAGGGACACACACAAATACACACGCACGCACACACATGCGTGTATACATAAAGTCTGATGCAAACGCCCACGTCGCAGCAAACGCTCGCCCCAGCGGGTCCATACTATTCTTTTTCAGGTCATTTTAGTTGTAGAAAACTGGCATGAAGGTCGAATGCGTACAAGAAC